TGAGGAGCAGCCAGAAGCCCACAGGCTGGCCAGAGAGACCGACGAGGATTGGCAAGGCCGAGCGCTGGGTGGCTGGGCAGGGGTAGAGAGGGAGAGCTGGTGCGAAGCCCAGAGCCACTGGGAAGTCACTGTGGCGTCTGGGCAGGCATGAGGACGGCCTAAGTCAGTGGAAGGCAAGGAAGACGCTGATCCATGGCCAGAACTGACCCCTCTTATGCTATTCTGCCCTCGGGCGACTCAGTGGCTTTCTGCCATTCCACACCACACAACACAGAACTCACAGTCAGGTTTCTGAGCTGCCTTCAATGACCAGGCCCAGTGCTCATTCCTCTGGAGACCTCTAGCCCCGGCCAGGAGGCTACCCAACCGGCTCCTTGACCTGTGCACTGGCCTGTGACTCGGAGTCACAGCCCCAGGCTGTGTGGGCCTGTCTGGCCTGAGTTCAAAGCCCAGCTTCTGATCTTGGGAGTCACTTCAGCTCTCTCCTTCTACAAGGAGCACCAACCCACAAGCTTGTGCAAAGAAAGCACCTCAGCAAGCAGTTAGCGCCGTGCCTGGTACACAGGCTGCTCCCTGTGTTACCATCTCTGCTGACAGCAATTTCAAGTGCCCAGATAGCAGTTCCTGTTAGCCAACCTGGGTGGTACTGCCTCCCCACACATCCTGCCTGAGGGGGGACCAGTGGCTGGAACACAGCCAGCAGGACCCCCTTGTCTCAGGACTCCCACACTGGCGCCCCCAGAGCCGTGTTAAGAACAGAACAGCCTTATGTCTGCCCAGCCCGACCTGCCTCTGTCCACCTCCAGCTCTGGGTGCCAGGCCTCAGCCATGCAGCTCCTGGACAAGGTCAAGGATCAGAGGACCAGACCCAACAGGTGCCACAGCAGAGGAGTCAGCCCAGACGAGACTGATGTCTTCACTGCCAGAAGCTGAAAATTCCAGCCCCAGACTGGCTGGGTGCCCACGAGGGTGTGACACCCTGCACGGCGAGCAGGAGAACCCACTTTGCTTTCCCTGGTGTCTGCATGATGCCATGTGCTTGGCCCATATGCTAGAATGAAAGGAGAGGGCTGTGAAGTTGGGGGTGGCAGCGGCTTCCTATCTGAATAGGAGCATCCTCCAAATCCCCCCCCACAACCCCCTTTTACCATAGTCAAGTGACCCCCAGAACTGGTGGGGCATTCAGTTGGATGCTGAGGCCAAGGCACAGAGGGAGTGGAGAAAGCTGCAGTAGCCCTGTGCAGGGTAAGGTAAAAAGCATCAGGCTTTTCTGCCCTCCCGCCATTAGGACTAATGATGGATCCTTGTCCTGAATGCATGCCTGATGGCGGGCACCTGGAGCGGGGTGTGGGCATAGGTAGATGGGATTCACCTGGGCTGAGACTGTGCTTATAAGGGCGGCGTCATGGGGACACCAGAAGAACCACGAGAGCAGCAGAGAACAAGGCCACCAGAGAAGGCCGGAGAGCCCAGGTAGAGTGAAGACTTGCTGGGAGCTGGGAGGCCTGCCAGCCTCCCGGCCCCCCAGCACCCCTGCCTGCCGTGTCCCTGGTAAATCCCAATAAAAGCCTGAAAAGCCACTGAGGGCTCCAGGACTCCTCCTTCACCTGTCTGCTCCGGTCATAGAGAACCTGCTCCATGTCCTCCTGGGTCCACAGCCCTGGTGCCCAGCGCCAGACAGCGCCGTCCCTAGACACCAACTGACACTGCTCAACTCAGCCCACCTGGCCTCAATGATGGAGCGCCCAGGTGGAGGCTGTCAGCTGTCCACAATTCCATTTCTCTTCTCTGAAAAGGTCAAGAGCTTAAGGCACCCCCTTTCCTAGCAAGGGACCCTGCCTGGTGGCACAGCAGCCTTCATCCAGAGGCCATCCACGCTGGGCCTGAGAGTCCTGCACTGACCATTGGCTTTGAGTCTCGACGTGAGCACAGCCAGGAGAACGTCTGCCCACACGTCAGGCCCAGTGAGGGGGGACAGGCCTCCAGGGAGGGACAGTGCTTCCCACCCAGCTCAACCCAACCTCCAAGACAGGCCAACAAGTCCTTGTCTCCAGGCACTGTGGGACATGAACGGGCGACATAACAATCCCAGCTGCATGGATTCCAGAAATCCCTAATCAGGGCCGACAGAACAGGCCCTGTGATGGGCGAGAGGGCAGAGTCCAGCACAGCCAAAAGTGTCCGACATGGACAGAAGGAAGGACGGAAAGAAATAGAGCCACGGCTAAACCTGCTTTCCTGACAGGCAAAGAAAGCCCCAAAGGCCAGACCTGGGGCTACCCCTTCTGACTGACCCGACTGGTCCCGGGACCACCAGAGCCAGCGCTTTCTGGAAACAACCAAGTGTCTGACCACAGCAGCCACCGCCCCCTGCAGATGGGGGCTGGGAACCCTCAGTCCCTCTGAGTGCAGGTTTGCGAATCCCACTCTGCAGCCTCCCATCTCCACGACAACTGTGACGACCCGCACTCAGCAAGCAACAGCTAAAAACAGGCCTCTGCCCAGGCTCCCCTGCCTCCCTCGACTGCCACCCACGGCGGCGGGTGTGGCTGGCCCCCCCAGCCACCTTCAGGGCCCGCTGACACCCACCAGCTGAGCAGGCCGATCTCTAAGCCCAGGGGAAGGCGCCTTCTGGCCGGGGCTTCCTGAGTACCACCGAGACGAGAAGCGTGTACTGAGCTTCGGTCTGGACACGGAGGTGCCAAGGGAGCCACAGAGCCAAGTCCCATTCCTGCCCCTGCCTCCTCGCCCAGCCTCCTCGCCACGCTGGGCAGAACAGCCAAGCCACCAGCCAGCAGCTCCCCAGGGCTGGCTCCCCAAGACCACGGCGTCATTCGTGCGCACACCCCAAGCTGCCCTGAGTGAGCATGGGACAGTTCCCAGGAATCCCCAGGAACTGTGGGTCACCCGGGGCCAGGGCCGAGTGCTGAGAACTGACCCCTGGGCTAGGCTTGAGGGATCTTTTCCAGGTAGTGGAGATGTTCCCAAATGGGATGACTGTGATGTTGGCACAGCTCTGTCCATTTACTAAAAAGAACTGAATTGCAAACTTAAAATAGGTGAATTCTTTTTTTTTTAGAAGTGGGGTACAGGCCAGAGTTGCAGGAGGGGGGCTGGTGGTGAGAAGATTCACCAGAGAGAGTGGGGAGCAGAACAGGCAGATGTACCGAAACACACTGCGGAGGGGAGCAGCGGGCGAGGCAGGAGAGGTCTCCTGCGCATGTGGGCTGCTCCCCGCTAGCCGAATCATATCTACATTATACCCCAATAAAATCATTTTATAAAATCTTTAAAAAGGAGCTTCTGTTACAGGCGAGATTGTAGGTGAATGACACCAACATAAAGTCGTGCAAAAAAGACCCAAAGAGTTCAAACCGCACGACTCTGTGTTACAAGACAGTCTAGAGGCAAAACTTGGTAATACAGATCTGAGTCGTGGTGGCCTCGCGGCACTGGGGTGGGCGGGGAAGGGAGGACCCACTTGGGGTACAGGAAGTAACCTCCATCCTGAAACCCCCAGCTGGTGACGCTACAGGTGGTTACAAGTGCAAACATCTTGCACTAAGGTTAATGCCCATTACAGGCACACACATATAAAACACACGCCTAAATTCAAAGTTTATTTTTTTAAACAGCAAAGTCCACTGATTCTCCAACTGTAACTGGCCTTGCCTGTGAGTGAGGACAGTGACCACTCAGGGGCCGCCCACCCGGCCTTCAGAGCCCAGCTCAGCGCCCGCATTCCGTGACACCCCCCCGGCCCTGCCAGGAGCTGCTCACTGCTTGCACCTGCCAAGCGCCCCTCTGCCAGGGTCCTCTCTCCACCGCCAGGCACCAGAGGAAGGCAGGCGCCTGGGAGCCAGGGGCTGGGTAGTGTGAGCTTATTAAACACCCACTGAGTCTCTCTCACACTCACTCACACTCACACACACACTCACACTCCGAGAGCCCCAACCAGGTGCAGGCTCAGTGAAAGCTCCTGATGCCCGGGGTGCCGCTCCTCAGGCAACAGGCTCCAGGCTCCCTGTGCAGCGGGATCGCTGCCGCCGTGTCCAGCTGGATGTCCCTTTTACGCGCACCACAGCCCTGGGAGCTGAGCGGAGCCCCGGAAAGTGCTTCCAGGGGCCCCCGAGCCCCGCCCCCACTTTGGGTCACCTCCCTGCCCCGCCCTGGCGCGGCCGGGGGTGGGGCCGGCGCACGTGGGCGCCCAGGAAACACCCCCAGGTGTAATGGTTAACCCGGGGCTCCGCCCCCCAGGCCCCAGCCCGGGAGCCCCGGTACCTGCGGGGTGGGGGAGGGGCGCGCACCCCCCAGCCCAGGGCCCCCCCCTCCCCGCTCCCAGCGCGGCCCCAGCCGGGGCTCCCGAGAAGCCCGGGCCGCGGGGAGCCCGGAGTAGCCCCGCCCGGAGCCGCTCTCTGGGGGCGCTGGCTCGGGGGGCGGCGGGGGGCGTCTGCTTGGCCTTTAAGTGTTTTTGCGCCGAGTTTTCACCGCGAATAAACTCTTGAGAAAACACTCCACGCGGCGGGGCCGCCCGCGGCTTCTCCCTCCCCGCGGCTCGGCCGACTCCGGGGGGACCCCGCGCCCCGCGCCCGGCCGGACGGGGCCCGGCGCCAGCCCTCGAGGAGCCCCGCCCGAGGCGAGGGGAGGGGAGGGCAGGGCAGGGACGCGGGGCGCAGCGCGCCGCCAGCCCCCCGGCCCCCCCGCGCCGCCCCCCGGTGCCCGGGACGCGCGCGAACAGGCGCCCGCCCCGCCGCGCGCCGCCCCCCCCCGTGCCCCCGCTAAACTTCCCCAAACTCGCGGCGGGTGGGGAGCCGCGACGCCCACCCCCCAGGAGGGCCTCCCTCCCGCCCCACGCGCGGGGCGCCCCAGCCCCGGCCGCCGCCGCCCGGGCGGGGGTCCCCACCGGCCGCCCGCGGAGCGCCAGGACGGGGCCGGGGGCGCGGGGCGGGGGGCGCGGGGCCGGGGGCTCCCCGCGCGGGGCCGGGGGCGCGGGGCGTTACCTTGCAGGTTCTGGACGCGGATGTCGCTGATCTGCCCGATGAGCTCCTCGCGCTGGAACCAGTCCCACTCGTGCGCAGCCATGGGCGGCCCGGGGCGCGGGCGCGGGCGCGGGGCGCGGGCGGCGGCGCGGGCTGCACGCACCCGGCGAGGGCGCCGCGGAGCCGGGCGGCGGGCGGCGGGCGGGGCGCGGGCGGGGCGAGCGCGGTCGGGCCGCCCCCGCCGCGGGCGGGCGGGCGGGCGCGGGCGCGGGTGCGGGGCGCCGGCTCGCGCTCACTCCCGGCTCCGGGGGCGGGAGCCCCGGGGGGCGCGGGGCGGGGCGCGCGGCGGGGCTCCGCGCGCGTTCGTTATTTGTGTCCCCCCACCCCGGGGTGTGTGTTGGTGGAATTGTTTGGCTGCAAACTCGCCGCGGTGAGGCGCGGGGTCCCGGCCCCCAGATTGTGATGTCTCAGGGGCGGCGGGGCGGGTGACGCCGCGGGGCGGGGCGGGGGGGACTCCGCGGGGCCCAGTACCCGGTGCCGAGGCCCCGCCCCCGCCCTCGGGGGCCCCACGCTCTTCTACCTCAGGCCCCCCAGCCCCCCCGCAATGCCGAGGGGGGCAAGCCGTGCTCATGGCCCTGAGGGCATCTGGGGTGGGGGTGGGGTGGGGGTGGGGTGGGGGTGAGGCGAGGATCTGGGTAAGGAGTGAGCTGGCGAGGAGATGGAGTTGGGGCGTCTCTCATCTGCCTCCAGACTGGGGGTCCGTGGAGAGAAGCGCCTCTTTCTTGGGCTTGGATGTTGGGGACCTGTGCCCAGGATCCCGTGCCGAGGACCCCGGGGGCTCGGGTGCTGGGAGAAGCAGCCTGCGCTGGGAGAACTGGGGTACCTTGTGGAGCCCTGGGGGGGCTTCACTGATAATGAAAAACAGTCTGTGCCAGTGTGCGCGTGTGTGCATGTGTGTGCGCGTGTGTGTGCGCGTGTGTGCATGTGTGTGCGCGTGTGTGTGCGCGTGTGCGCGCGTGTGTGTTTCCTTTTCTGTTTCTTTTACCTCTTTTGAGTTCCAGGATCTTATCTGATTCGGGCCCATAACTCACGCAGACCCCAAGCCCGCCCTCCGGGGCCGCCCCCGAGACTCTAGTAATGGAATTTGCCGGAGGTTGAGGAATGAGCTGGGGCGGGAGGGCTCAGCCCCCAGCTCAGAACTCTGGCCCGTCGGGGCACCCAGCGAAGGGCTTACATACGGGCTACTCCTAAAGGAAAAAAAAATACAGGCAGGACTCTGAGCGTTTAGACGTGGGCGGTCATCACTGCCGGCTCGGGCTGCTGGAACACCAGGGCCGAGAGGCTGCTCCCTCGGGAGAGCTGTGGTGCCTGGGCTGGTGCTGGACCCTGTGTCCTTGAGGCTGAGCCTTAGAGGGGCATCCAGCCTCAGCCCCCCTCCACTGGGGGCGGGAGTGGACAGCCGGCCAACAGTAATTACAGCTGGAAGTGAGTTCCAGAAAGGAGAAAATCCACGTGGGGTAAATGTCAGGGCTGGGGGTGCGGAGGTCAGGGGTCTTTGAGGACTGACCTGGAGGAGTCTGAATGAGGATGCCCCCCGCCCCCCGGACAGCGGCTTGGGCAGGAGGTGCTGGGAGACTTCTTGCCACCACTATCCTTGTCTAGGTTCCAGGGGTGCGGCCAGGTCCGTGCCCCCAGAGCTGACCCTCTGGCAGGAAGTTTATCCCGCGGTTGAGCAGGAACTTAATGCCAGGGTTCAGAACTCTAGATTGCTTTCTTGTTCTCCCTCTCGCTATAAGCACCTCTTTTATAATCAGGCAGAAAACCAGTAAGTTCTGTTTAAACCCCTTGAGCCCTGAGCTGGAGTCCCCAGTCACCCCAGCTCTCCGTGGAGAAGCCCAGGCCACCAAGGAGGCTTGTGGTGTCCCGGCACCGGCCCCCAGGCTTCAGGCGGCAGCTGCCTTCTCCTTGATTTGGTTCTTAAGTGCGGGGTCATTTCACAGTCCAGGGAGCCTGATCGGAGCCTGCAGGGTCAGGTGCCGGGGCCCTCATTTTGCCCCATCTGCTAGTCATCTCCCTCTTTACACTTCAATTTATTTCCTGCAATTGCTATGGGGCGAAGTTGGGCTAAAGTCATTTTCCTTCCAAAACAAAGAGCAGAGAGAATCAGCCATCCACTCCATCAAGGGGGCTGGGGGGGTGGGGACTCAGGGAACAGAAGGCTTTCAGCCAAGCCTGCCATTTAGCTGCAGGCAGGCCATTGTTTCACCCCTCAAGATGACTATTCCTATAAATGGAACACTGTACCTTTGGGGGACATGGCACAGGCAGTAACAGCTCCCCCCCCACCCGGGGGAGGGAGGGTCTGTGATCATCAGTAACTTAGCGCCAACTGTGCTGGACCCCATCTCAAGAACTTTTTTGCATCAAGGTGAGAAGGGAATTAAGGTGGTTTTCAAGATGGAGGACTCTGAGCCTGAGGCTGGCCTCTGCGTGGGTCTTTAATGTTCATTAAAGTACTGTGACAATATCACCTCTCTCCCCTTGGGGTCTCAGGTGGTCCCTGCGGGTCCCTGGCCACCTTGCTCATCGATCCTGTTTTTATACTTTTGCTCCAGGACAGTGAGCTGCTGCCGAGTGTGCCCGCACCGAGGCCCCCTCCAAGCCTGTGCAACACCTGTGCGCCTGCTCTCTGCCCCTGCACTTCATCCTTCCTGGGCCTACTCCTGCTCAGTCGCGTGCACCTCAGCAGAACCTTTTTTCACACCCTGGGCCCCCGAGTGCCCGTTGTGCAGCGATGCTGATATCTGCACCATTTCTGTCCCGTGAACCTGCTCTGTTGTTCCCACATTACATCATGATTATTTTGCTCGACGGCTCCCCCCTCCACACACACACTGAAGCACTGAGAACAGGAGCTGTGCCACGCGTGTCCCTGAGCACTTACCACAGTGGCCAGTGCAGACAGAGGGCTCAGTGTTGGGTGAATGGATGAATGAATGATTCACGTTACGGGTCTGAGCTCAGAAAGTAGGTCCGAATGGCAGAGTTGGTCCCCACGTCCTGGGCCTAAGTAAGCTTTTCAGGAGGTGATTAAAAATGCCTGAGTGGGGCCTCCCCGGTGGCACAGCAGTTGAGCACTGGGTTGGAAAGCTGCCCGCGGCCTCTGCGGCACCGGTTCGATCCCCGGCTGCTCCCCGGCCACCAGAGGAAGGTCCCACGTGGCGCGCAGACCTCTCCTGCCGCCCACTGCTTCCCTCAGCAGTGTCCTTCGGTCCTTCTGCCTGCTCTGCTCCCCGCTCTGGCTCTGGTGAATTCTCTCACCCTCCCGTGCTTCTGACTGTACCCAGTGCTTGTATAAATAAATAAATAAATCTTAAAAAAAAAATGCCTGAGTGTTGGCAGTGGGCTGGCACCTGCTGTTGTGCTGGGCCTCGAGCTGCTTCCTGGGACCCTGCTCCTGCTGGGAGATGGGGGGGGGGAGCCGGGGGGCACGTGACTCCCAAGGGGATTAGCTGATTTGTCCTCTTGCGTGAATCGTGTTTTTTTCCTTACACACTTATTTTTAGGAAGAAAAATTACTCTTCCCCAAGGCTTGGCTTCCCCGGAGTTTCCAGGAACTGATTTTCTAGAAGTTGCCCAATTCTGCTAGAATCCTTGTCATTGTTCAAAACCAGCTTCACCAAGGAAAAGGCTTTGGAGTCAGGGAATTGCAAAGCATCCCTGGATGGGGCCTTCCCACATAAGGACTTCTAAAACATCTGGCTCAGTGACATTTCTGCCTCTGCTTGCGGGGACAGACGACTTCAGGCCAGACAGAGGTTTGCCTTCCACATCCCAGGTCCATTGAGGAAAGAGTCAGAACAACAAAGATCACCCCATTGTCCCCCGTTCTTGACCCAGCCACTCCAGGAGCAGGTGTGACGGGGCCTCTGCTCAGTGGGAAGTTACCTTCTCTGCTCACTGCCATGACCCTGTGTGTTCACAGACTTTTTCAGTTTGGACAGAGTAAGACAAAACCAGACTTTGTCCCGTTGCCCTCGCTGCCTGCTCTCATCAGTCCCCAAATTCCTGGATTTACGTTATGAACCATAGCCCTAGGTCTAGTCATGTTTCTATAACATTTTTTAAAAATCTCAGCTCTATCCTAACTACGATGCTCATCAGGATTTAAAAATTGTTAGCGGTTTCAAATTAAACTTTTAAGAGGTTATAGTGAATCCCAGCTAGATCAGGCCATGGCTCTTCAAGAAGGCACAAAACATCTCCGGGCAGAGGTCTGCATTATGATGTCACAAGACCCCAAGCCTCATTTAGTCATTTGACAAGCACTGGTTGAATGTCCACCCACGGCCTGGACCCTGCACCAGGGTAGACAAGACCCAGGATCACGAACTAGGACCTGGCAAGGAGTTGGACTCTGTTGTAGGGCAGAGGCGCCTTGGGAACTGAAGCTGGGCTCAGGCTGTCCTTTTAGTTATGTGGTGTGTGGCAAAGGGAGCAGAGGCATAGGCAACCAGTGACATGGGTGCCAGATGCTGGCGGCCCACACCAGGGCAGCGGCCATGGACATGCCCCTTCCAGCTGCTCAGATGGTGAAGCTGGCAGTGCCCGGCGACTGGTTCGGGGCTTGTGCAGCACCTGTCTGTGTGCTGCTGCTTCCCAAACTAGCCATGCCTTGCAGCGATTTACTGTAAATGCCTTGGGATGGCTGGCGCCAGGGCGACCTGATTCATTGTTGTATCACCAAGGCCCCAGACCATGCTGGGCCTATTGTAGGTTCTCAGTAAATGTGAGTTGCATGTATGAATAAACATTCTATTTAAGCTTCGCCAAGCAGTAACCCTGAAAACTCTTGAGTCCCGACTCCTCAAGGAAATTGGGATTTCCTCTGGGCCTTAGGAATGTCAGGTGTCTCTGGTCCCACTGATTTTCTCCTGCTAACTTCTCCCATGGGCTGCCACCTGCCTCCAGGAATTCTGCAGGACATGATACAAACACTGGGGCAGAGAGAAATGCTGAGCTACAGAAAGAATCTGGCTTTGAGGGCGTGTGGTTTGGTGGACCATGTGGATCATGAGCAGAATGTGGAGGGTGGTTCTGTGGGACCCCAGGTGAGTCCTCAGCCTCT